GGTGAAATGGTGTCAGGTCCTTTCTCATACACACATGCAGGTGCTCATTGGTTAGCCTCGGTTAGCCTGCCCTGGAACGATATTTATTTTTTGTGACCTCAGTTCTGACTTGAGAGGGAATGTTTGGTCAAACACTTTGTGTTTAGTCTCATAGTGGCGTTTTGGCACTTTTAATGAGCGCCACGGTCTCTGAACAAATGAGACACACTGGTTCTGTGCTCCCAGTGGGCAGGATGAACATGAATGAGTCCGTCCACTCAGGGTTAAAAGCTCTGTTCTCACTGTCCACTTTCCTCTTCTTGGGGAGCGCCATGTGTCATTATTTGTCTCTCCCTGTCTGTCGCTAACACGCCTGTTCATTCTCCTCTCCGCTTCTCTCCCTGTATCGCTAATTATTCTCTTCACTCACTTTCCTCTCCTCTTCTCTCTGCCACTCTCTCATCTCTTCTTCTGTGTTTCTCTCCCTGTATCGCTCACTCGTCTCTTTCGCCCCCCTGTCGGCGGCGGTTAAAATAGAATCGCCCCGTCAAAATTGAAATCCCCTATTAATGTATTGATTATAGGTCCGGGTCCGTATAGGTCGGCGTCTGAGTCCGGATCCGGATCCGGACCGCGGTCTGCCTGTTGCCGACCCCTGGTCTATGGTCTAAACTGAGGCCGTTTTGCTTTTCTATAGGTTGTATAGATACAAGCATGGTTTTATACTATCATGTTTAATCATGTTTTATGCCGTTTACTAAGACTTGATAAGTCGCTCATAAAACACAGGAGGTATGGAAACTAAGAACACCATATATTTGGTAGATTTGGCAGCTGATATTACACAACACATTTGTCTTATTTCATTTAAGTGGTGGATATAGAGTTGCTACGGGGAGGCTGCAGTGAAGATGTTGCGCACAGCTGATTGACAGCTGGAACACAAATCACCAAATAAAAAAATAAACATTAATTGACTCCACTCCGCAGGGATCCCCCGATACTTTCTTAAAGTTTCTCATCATGGGGGGGTCTCCTGTCCCCGGCACAACACACACTGACACACTGCCTGAGGAAGGTTATGTGTATTTTGTCATTAACTTTTTCGGACCACTTATTTATTTATTTTGGTGACGATCCGACCTTCATGCTGCTACTCTGGTTCAAACTGCATCCACCAAAACAATGTGATTTGTCTCCACCTTCCCAAAAGAACCAAAATCTGACACAGTGTGGAATGTATTTTTTAGCTGTTCTGTCGTCATTTCCTGCGATCTTCTTCATGCAGTCAGTCAAAATGAATATTAATACGGGGCAATCTTTATAGGCAAATATGACGTGAAGCCCGCAAAAGCTGAAAGCTGAAAATGTTGGTTTCGCAGTTACGTACAAGGATGACGGACAAAGACAGGTGGACCGAACCAAAGCTGTTTGTCGGCATTGTTCAACTAAAATTGGTTACGCGGCTAGCAATACATCAAACTTGCACACTCATTTGAAAAGGCATCACCCGAACGTGAATATCACCGGTACCAAAAGAAAAAATTACTGAAGTGCAAACCCAACTCCCACTAGCATTTAAGCCTCCACCACTCGCAAAAAGTTCAGACTGAGCCAAAGCTATTACAAATGCCAAATATCCTTATGTTGCCATGTTAGCAAAGCGCTACCTGGCTGTATCTGCTACCTCTGTCCCTAGTGAGAGGGTGTTCTCCACAGCAGGAGACATTGTTAGTGCCAGCAGAGTGAATATTCACAGTTTAATAATAATTAAAAAACCCAAACAAATATGTTATGTTTTGTGAGTAATATACAGTAAAGTTCAAATACAGATTATTTCAGTTCATCGAAATGCTGCACCTTAATGTTTATTTTGTATTTATTTGAGTGAATACATTATTCACAGTTTAATAATAATTAAAAACCCCCACAAAATATTTTATGTTTTGTGATCATTCTTTCTGCTGTACCGAAAACGTACCGAACCGTGACCTAAAAACCGAGGTACGTACCGAACCGAAATGTTGGTGAACCGTTACACCCCTATTCAGTCATGTTCATTTTCATTGTACAGTTTGTTTATCTCTTCATTCATTCATTCATAGTATCACAACAGTGGATGGAAGTCCGCACCTCGACTCTGAGCTCCTTGAGATCAAACTGGCGAAGGTAACGAATAATGATGCCATGCTTCATGATTCATGTAATCATTGTATTCATTCATTCATTTGTATATGTGTCTTCATGTCATAAACATCCTAGATCAAGTACTATATTAACTCTTTTAAATAACATTGGTAGTCGTATTTTCCAGGTCTTGTCCGTAGCCTATTTGCTTATCAAATGCTTCCCTTTGAGAATTGAGCTGTCAGCTTCTATTAGCTTTCATTTGCTCCCCTGAATCGCTACATAAAAACAAGAGTAAAGTCATCAAGCCAGACACAAAATCACTATTGCTCCTCCTCATAACATTAGGGAAAGTGTTGGCAATTTCCACAACTTGATGCATTTATCCTCAATTAATTACCGCTGCTGACAGTTCTTTCATGAGAGGTAATCAAAGCAAAACCACAGCTACCAGAGCCTTCTTATAAAAGCAGCAGTATGTTTGCAGACGTATGTATGCAACAGCCACGTCTGTTAGTAAGCCCTGTAGGAGGCGAGTCGGCCTATAATCCAGGAGCTTATCTGTTGTGTTTGTGTTGTGAAGCATCTTAAATTGTGCAGGTACAACACACACTCTTCTCCTGACAGGATGCCAGTCCACTGCAGAGACTTTTCTCCGATTTTATCTCTGTGAACATTGATTGCCAATCAGAGAAGCACAGAAGTCCCATTTTTGAAAGGTCTCCAACAGCTGTTCCAATACTTAATTAAACCAGAACATGTTTTTTCAGCAGTACACATGTGCTAGCCTTGTAAGAACTATAAATACGAGATATTATGCTCATTTCAGGTTCATATTTCTATTTCGTGCCTCTACTGTGACATGTTTACATACTTTAATGTTCAAACATTGCTTATTTTTATCATACTGCCTGTGCTGCAGCACCTCTTTTCACCCTCTGTCTGAAACCAGAGGCCAGTCTGCTCTGATTGGTTAGCTGGCCGTCTCTGTTGTGATTGGTCAACTGCCTAGAGATTTGTCTCTGCAAATCTCTTGCCATTTCAGACCATTTATATGCACACAAACCTATACAACTCAGTGCAGGAAAGGGAAAACTGCAAGAAGCATAATAGACCCTCTTTAAATCTGTATTAGAAGATATACTTCATTCTGTTGAAGGTTTAGGACCATACTCATATTTCAGTAGTGTAAAGTACCTTTACTCAAGTACTCTACTTAAGTACATTTTTGAGGTACTTCTACTTTCTTCTATTCTATGCTACTTCACACTACTACTCAACTACAATTTGCACTTTTTATTCACTACTTTTATTTTCCAATATTTATTAATACTTATTTTTCAGGTTCATAATATTATGAATAAAACTAAATTGACTAATGGATTAAGATTTTACTAATATATATGGCTGCAGAAAAAGTCAGTGAAGTTGGCTCCACCTTTACAATCTGCAAAATTAAAATGATGTTCACATTAAAGGGGCCCTATTATGCTTTTATGGGGTTTTCCCTTTCCTATAGTGTGTTATATAGGTTGTTGTACATGATAATGGACTGCAATGGCTAAAATCCCCAAATCCACACCAGAGGGAGTTTCTCTCACCATCATCTTTTACTTTTTAAGTACAATTGTATATGTCAGGCTGATACATGTAACATACTGTAGTATCTCTACACTGTAGTATTACAACTTTTACTTAAAGGAAACCTATCATGCTATATTTAAATGATATATTGTAGGGCCATACCTATATAAGGTATATTTATACGTTTCTGTTTTCGAAATACCAAACAGATCATGCATTTTAGCCATGCCTCATTTCGCTCTATGTATTTGTTTGCTGTCTACGGGTCTGATTTTGTGAGCTGCAGCTGACCACGCCCCCCTGCAGGAGAGGGGAGCCGCTCTGATCAGCTGCTGGGCTGTCAGAAGAGGGGGAGGAAAAGAGATCTCCGTCCTCCGTGTTTTATTATAGCCTATATAGAGTCGTTATTCATTTGTTTTAAAGCTCAATAAATAACAAAGAAGACCTTTGACCGGCACTTTTCTAATTTTGTCCGGACGATTTAAACTTTAACGGACATCTTGACCGGCGAAAGAAACTGAAACTGAAACTCTGCCGCACGGTCCCCTCGTTCCTTGGAAGAGGCGGAGAGGTGGGTGTTTGTCATCTGCTGGTGGACTAACCGGAGAGAATTACAGTGCTTGCCTCGACGAGGAGGGATTGCATTGAATTAAAGCAGCAGAAGGAGCAAACGCTTGCCTTGGGGAGGGAGAAAAAAAGCCACAGCGGAGAATAAACAGAAGGGTAACCATGGTAACCAAGTCTTCTTTGCTGCTTTTGTGGCAGACTACAGCGCCACTTACAGGCCTGGCATATGTACTACAGCGTCTCCAGCACTTTCGAGCGGCAATGGCCGGCTGTGGCCCAACCCCACATTCCCCTGATAGGTGGAGAGTTGGCCCAATAGCCGTAGCGCCACCGTCCTGACGTCAGGACAGTGTTCAAATCTGGATCAGTTTTTATCAGATCCGTTGCAGCCCCTTTTTTTAGAGATTTGGGTATGGAGGAAAATAGAGAGGGTTGTGTTTTCTGACACTTGTTGAGTTCCCTGGAACACCGGGGACTCATATTCATGTATAAAAGACGTACAAAAGTGCATTTTGCATGATAGGTCCCCTTTAAGTTAAAATGTGGATTACTTCTTAAACGTATATTTAGCTCTCTTGTTCACCCTTTAATTCATTCTCCAAGCTTGGTGCATACAAATAAAAGAAGCGACAGCTTAATGAAGTGTGATGAGAAGCTTATGAAATTCCCTCTCAATGAGGCTGATGTAATACCTTTTGTGTGATGTGCTTTGTCTCACTGTGCAACCTTTGCTTGACTTCCAGGGTTTGGTGTTTGAGGAGGAGAGACCGCCGCCGCCGAACCAGGCCCCTCTGGCCCCTATGCTGGAGTTTGTCTCCGCCCAGACGGGGGTTCCTGTGGTAGCCGTAGGGGGAGGGGCCAGCCTGGGACGAGAGCAACAGGTAGACATTGATTTCTTTACGTTGCATCATCTACCCTGTTGATTTCTATTGGACTAATTATAGGACTGTCTGTAAAAGATGAAACAAAGACTGTAATAAATAATGAGGGCAGTGTTTGAAAAAATTACCTCTCAAACACTACTGACCTTATTGAGGTGGGATATCTGTGTTTGAAATTAAGGTAACAGACTAGAAATATTGATTATTTATGGTTGGAGGATACATTTCATAGGTCCCTTTCAAAAACAATAGTCAGGTGAAGCTTAACATTTTAACAGTTTTGCTGTAGGCATTCCTTTTGTTCATACTGACAATAAAATCATCACAGATACAAATGCATTTACATTGTAAATGATGGGGGACAAAATCCACAGTCCTTGTTTTGTTCAAAGATCTATTCCAAAGTTCCTCTGAGGATAATATAATGCTTCTTTTTACATTCCCTCTCTTTGTTAAAATATTCAAAGTAGCTCAATGGGGAAATACAAAAAGTTAATGACTTAAAAAAATGATAAAGCTATCCTTTGATTTAAAGGGTGCTTAGGGTTTAGTTATGGTTTGTGCCAGCCGTTGCGGGCACACATTAGATTATGTATTTTATCAGTAAATGACTATCCAGAAATGTAGTGAATGAGACTGCAGTCTTTCCCTGGAAGGCAACTGTTCCTTTATATCACTGTTTGGGCACTTTTGATGTATATTTTTGAAGTGTGAAAGTGGAGATGGATAGGAAATGCAGAGAAAAGAACAAGGAATTGACATGCTGCAAACCGTTTGGCCACAGACACTTGATGCTTATGTTGCATGAACCCTAATCATTCTTCTATTGGATCACCCAACTGGTGTTGTCAAACTCTTAATTGAATGTTTTCTCATGAGGTTTACATTAATGACATAGCAAGTCCTCTTGTTCTAAAGTATGATTAATATAACATTGGAATCATAAGTAATACATCAATCATGTTTGCATACTGTACATGCATCATAATTCATTTTGCTGGCCGCTTGGGAGCAGTGAAAAAATATGTTATACATTAACATATTATGACCTTTTACAGTATATATGGTAAACATAGGAGGAAGCAATTGCCTATTTACACATCCCGCAGACATAAAGCCACACTAACATGTATATGTAGTTGCGTTTTTGGCCTCTGGATGTCCAATATTAACCCTCCTTCCAGTTTTGTTTTGGTCTCATATAATTCCTAAATAGTCTGTTTGTTCACCTGCTAGTTGCTAACTTTGTCTGCATGCTGTTTGGTGCTGAGTTTTTTTCTATGAGAGCTGTGGGACTCAAGCAGAAAGTCAAAAAAATTAAGTAATGCGGAAAACGATGCTAAGAGCAGAACAATTTGGTAAACACAGTGTGAGGAGCTATGGACCGTATTATCTATTTGGACATCGTCCGTATCATGTCATTTGATCCATTGTCAATAATTAACATAGACGTTTTAACACCAGCACTTATTATGTTAATAAAGGCACATTCACCTAAAAGTTGCTTTGGTAAATATGCCAATATTAGAGAACAGGCAGAAGATATTCCCTCACTTCTTTACACCATTAGGTTTTCATAATAGCCAGGGCTGGCACAGACTGGCAGCTAAGCTCCTTTTATTTAGACATTACTCTTCATAGAAGCGTACATTTCAGCTCTGGATGTGACAAATGCTCCTGGCCTGTGAGTAATATGGATGTCTAACAGTCACTATCTGTAACAGAGGGCTGTACCTCAGCGTGTTGGTACCAGAAAGTGGAGCTGAGTTAAGGATATGTAGTGTCATTCAGACTGAAGTCAATTTTTAGGCTATATTTATTTTCTGGATTCTAAACATATCAGGAAATATGCTGCTCTAGCCTCCTCACTAAGCGATAATGAAGAAGAGGAAATGTAATATTTGTCAGAATTGCTCTAGTTCTGTCACTGCCGCTTAGCCCATCAGTATCAGAACTGCTTTTCATCACCGAGTTGAGAACATTTGTTAATAATTTGACATTTCCTTGCTGCACACTGTTTGAATGTTGCAGTAGTCCAGATGACAACTGCGAACAGATGTAGCGTTGGCAATCAATATGTGTTTTATTCTTGCTACAAAATTCTTGCTACAAAATTAACCATCCAGTGAATCAAGATGACTACCGTTTGCCCTTGTTTAAAATTATGATTGCTGCCCATTGTTGCAGAATAATAAATTGGTGTCAGCTCTCCAAATGGCACTAGTGCTAACTATATCAACCTAACAAAGCAGTTTATCATGACAGGTGGGATTTTTTAATAGCTGGGTCAATTAGTTCTAAGTGGATCTCTTTGACGGTAACATGCGGGCATTGGGATTTCTACCAAAGAATGGAGTCAGCTACGCATTTGATGAGTAACACACTCAGCTTGAAACTGATCTGTCAGTATCTGAAATATTCATTATCAAAAGCGGCTGTGATTAAGGTCGGAGGTGAGTTTGCTTTGAAGTCGCACAAGGTACAAAACTACTTTTTTTCCTGGTAGAATCAGTAAAGTCATTTTGATTATATTTCTACACCTATAAAATGCTCTACACTGAAATACTAATGCTATATGTTTTACTGAGCATCGTATGTTAATAACCCTTCATATTCTAATATATAAGCTCACTGAGCTTTATGATCATGCTTTCAAAGGACAAGCTGCTCATAGACACTCAGATAAGATATTGGATGAGATAAAGCCCATGGCATACCAGTCAAACATCCGCCAACAAACACAGATGTTTGGTTGGAGTGCCATTGATGTATTTCCTTTTAAAGGGATATTTGGTCAGATATGTGTTATCTCAGTTTTTCAATGTTTGATGGTGTTTTGATACTGACCCCATTACAACTGATTGTAAAAGGTCTGTCTTTAATTCATGAAAGATATCTCTTCACTTAGTTTTCACGTAGTTAATGCAGTCACCTGTTTGACATGTTAAGTTTGGACAAGTGTTTTGTTTGGAATGTTCCCTGTTCCCTGGCGAGAAAGGGTTAGAGTTTATTGTCGGTTGAGTAAAACATAAAATGGCTTGTTGCAGTTGGTTTCCTGACAGCTTGACTAGCAAGAAAAACAACTACATGGATGTACAGATGTAGCACTCCAGATAGGACTCCACCCAGCAGATTCCAACCAAAAACCCAGTGGATCCCAGTGGCTGGGAGATTAAAGACCTCCCACTATTTCCTAAGAGGGCGTTGCCAAATTTCCCCATTTGTTCAATTTTAGGATTTAACCATGAGATGGCGCTTCATTCACAAATACACAAAGACAACTGGGTGTTGTAGAGATGTAGACCTTAGTTTGTTTGCAATGTTTGCAGCTCTGCAGATGTGTTTGCTGAATACTGTAGCATTTAATCACTTATTTGTTATGGTTTTCATAGGCTACTATAACGAAAAAACATTAATATTTTAGATCAAATAAAGTATATCTAATCTTATTATCTTAATTGTAATTCAATAATATATAGTCTTTATATATTAAATAATCACAATAATAATGTAAATGTTTACACTTCTTTATTTTTTTTGCTCATACTTTTACCTTTACAATAGTTTGCTTTAATATGCAGTATATTTTTTGTAATATTGTTGTGGTGTTTTTACACAGTCCAGTAGATCGAAGTAAATCAACTTATACATTAAGATAAGATAAGATAAGATGGACCTTTATTGATCCCCGTGGGGAAATTCAGTAGTTCAAACAGCAACAGGGTGAGAGTGAAAAATAGGATAGCACAGATTCACACAGATTAATAAAAACAAAAATAAGATCAGCGATAAAAATTAAAATAATAATAATGAGAAACTATGAAATAAGAAATGAATACAATTAAATTATCATATCATATATTATATAATGTATTGTATTATTAAGTAATATCATACATTAACCCCATTATAGGAGATGCCACATTGAATGGATGAACACATTTATGCATCAATAATTACAACGGAGTATTTCTAAATACAAGTTGTAAAAATACTTATATGTATTTAATACTAATAACATAATGATTCATTTTACTTTCAGATGATAATACTTTTCACTTGGGCAATTGACCATTTTGAATGCAGGACATTTACTTATATGTGACCTGCTCCATCGAAATCAGTAGCATTGACCCGAAGACACATTTTGAGCTGTATACACTGTGTTTGTTTCCCGGGCAAAACACTCACGAGAAACACCGGCTGTTGTTATAACTGCTGTGACGTTAAATTACTCCGTTCTCCGCTTGTAATTATGCCGTTACAAGCTTCATAGTTGTATTTATCATCTAAATTTGCCGAAACAAGTTTAATATTCTGAAAGCCAAGACTTTGTTTATTTGAAATCAGATGAAAACAAACTGTAACGGACCCTGCCGTGTTATCTATGATTACTATATGCCTTACATTCATAATTTCAGCCGGAGGGAGGGGGGGCGCAATCTGCGGAAGAGCAGATTGCGAGTGAGAGGTGCCTGTCATCTTCCCTTTACAAGCTTCACAAATGTATTTATCGTGTGATTTTGGAAATAAAAGTGTCATATTCTGAAAGCCAAAACTTTGTTTATTTAAAATCAAACAAAACACCCGAACCCCGAAAAAATAGTTTTTTACGCAAATCTACGTTTATTTTGAAATGAGCCGTTTGCGACTTCCGACTGATTTCGATAGAGCGAGTCACATATTTTTACCTAGGTAAACAATCTGAATACTTCTTCCACCTCTGAATTTGGACCCTGTCACTGTTTTTAAAACTTTAATTAAGGCGCCGTTTACACGAGGAGAAAACGGCTTGTATCTGCATAGTTTCGCGTGCGTATAGCCCTATTATTTAGACGAGGCCGATAGAAACTGACCACACAAACGATAACGGGTCCCAAGGTGGATAGATTTGCAAACGAAACGCTCTGGGGGGTCAACCGAGTCCGTTTAATCGCCTCTATACGAATATTGCCTGAAAAAATAACGACAGCCCCGCCTCTTCGCACCTCTTCCCACCT